GGTGGTGCTGGCCCCCAGAACCCTATGCTGCTCCTGGCAGACAGCTGGTGGCACAGTCGGGCGTGGCTGTCATCGACTGCTCCTGGGCCAGACTGGAGGAGACGCCCTTTGGGAAGATGCGGGGCAGTCACTTTCGGCTGCTGCCTCACCTGGTGGCTGCCAACCCTGTGAACTATGGCCGGCCCTGCAAACTGTCCTGTGTGGAGGCTTTTGCGGCTACCTTCTGCATCCTGGGTGCGTGTCGGGGCCTGGCAGCCTGGCTGTGCTCCCAGCAGCGTGTTTTCTACTGGCAAGTCCCAGGAGCAACCGTGAGGGTGTGGGCAGAGGTGGTTGAGATGGAAAGGTCAGGGTTTCTATCCCAGTTCCCACTTAAAAGTTTTCCCCCTGTGGGGTTGAGGTGGCAACATGAATAGCTGGCCTGCCAGCACTCAGATTTGGCCTGTTATCTTGGCACCACTGCCCTGAGAGTCCTCCATCACCCTTCAACTCATCCCCAGGGAATTTATGGTCCCAATAGAGGCCCAGATGGGCAGGGGGATTGAGTGGCTGCAGAGGCAGGCATGGGCTGTCTGGGCTTAGGATACTGTCTGGCAGGTGCTTTTAGCTCCTGGGACACACAGCATTGGGTACGCTGGGGACACACTCAGGATTGGAAAGGGACTGTTGACATTCCTGGGTTTCCTGTTTCTGCGGCATCAGGCTTCTCAGACCTTGCTGTCATTTTGCTGCGGAAGTTCAAGTGGGGCAAGGCCTTCCTAGACCTGAACCGTCAGCTCTTGGACAAGTATGCAGCCTGCTGTGGCCCAGAGGAGGTGCTGCAGGCAGAGCAGGAGTTCCTGGCCCATGCTAAGGAGCGCCCTGAGGAGGAGATCGGTGAGGCCTGGCATGGATGTGAGGGCCCCCCACCCCCCCCCAGTTGGGAGCCAGGACCCTCCATGCCTGCCACCTCTTTGAGAAGCTCTAGGGGTGGAAGGCTGGGTTCTGCTCAAAGCTCACCTGTCACTGTCCTCTTTGCTCCCTCTGTTCAGATCCCTTTGATGTGGATTCAGGTCGAGAGTTTGCAAATCCCAACAGGCCCGTGGCTGGCACCCGGTAGGTCCTTAGGCTTCCCACTTTCCTGACAGCTCAGACCCAGGCTGTCCTCAGCCTCTGGCCTCAGCCCTTCCTGCTCTGCAGAAACCGGGTGGGAGGGTTGGCTGTGGAGATGGGGGGTATGGACGTCCCACTGAGAGGCTCTGGATTCAAGAACACGGGGAGTAAGAGGAATTTGTACTCGGCCTGAGGGCTCTTGTGGGTCAGGTGGTGCCTTTAGTGAAACAACTACTTCCAGGTTGCCCAGGGACAGTGATGACAGTGACATTGAGGAGGAGTCTGAGGCACTGGGGCCCGAAGCTGAGGATGGAGACTGCAGCAGCAGCAGCAGCAGCAGCAGCCCAGAAGAGGAGGAGACGCGGGAGCAGGGGTCAGAGGCCAGGGCCCCTGCCGAGGTTTGGAAAGGAATCAAGAAACGGCAGAGAGACTGAAGGTTCCAGACGTGTATTTTTCAAGGCAGAGTGATGAGGAAACCTAGCGACAGCAGCGGAACTGGTGGGAACGACGACAGGCCTGGCGGTCCTGGCTCATCGCATCTACGAGCAGCACTGGGCTCTGTCGGGTTCTCTCCCAAAGCTTCTATCATAGCCTTGCTCTGGGTCCTGCCTCAGAGTCCCTAATGAAGCTGCAGGGACACTTCGTGAGCCTCTGTTTCTTTGCACTTGGCCTCGGCACTTGGGGGAACTCTCAGCCTCTGGTGAGGCAGACCCTGGCTGGAAAGGTCTGGACAGTGGGGGTGGCGGGCCACGGAGGAGGTCTTGTGTGGGCGCGAACATGTATGTGATAGGAGAAGCCAGCATGGAGCTCCTTACACTGACCCACCAGCCTCATAGAGTGATTCAAGGGACCCCCTCCTGGGCCGAGGATCCAGGTGAGGGACTGGAGACCTGTGATATTCTTAGCAAACCTCCACATGCCCTTCGTGTGTGGAGGGTTCTAGAGCCCAGAGAGGGTGAGAACACTGTGGCTGTCACTTTCCCTCCACCTGGTGCCTGGGCGCTGCTTCACTCCGTTTGGGTTGTTCAGACTCAAACCCTGGCCTTCCTGCCTCTCAGCCTAGTGAGCGCCCTCCCCGCAACCCCAACTTCTAAGACAACTCGGCTGCAACACTGGTGACATTGGGGAGGGACCGTTCTTAGTTGGGGAGAGTACTGTCTGGTTTATTGGAAGATATTAAGCAGCATCCCTGAACTTTGTCCACTGGTACCAGAAGCATCCCCTTCAACCTCCAGGCGTGACAAATAAAAATGTCTCCAAACATGACCTAAAGTCCCCTCCCACTGGGAATCGAGTGCCTGGGGGCAATGGAACCTCCAGGAGGCAGCTGGGGAAGTTCACCTGGTGCCAGGCTTCCTGTATTCCCTGTCCAGCGGGTAGCTGCTGGCCAGGCCCCGCCAAGTTGGCCGCCCAGATACAGGGTTAGGGGGGTCCTTGCTGGGTGCAGGGAGTTCATAGCACATACCACATGGACACGCCAGGGCAGACAGGAGCTGGGGGACCCAGCTATAGCACGAACGCCACATAGGGGAGGGGGCACCACAGCCCTGGCTGCACTAAGCTGGTCACAGGGTGAGGTGACACCGTGGGGACTTGGGGGGGTTCTGGGGCTCGCAGCCACAGGGGTCTCATGGGTCCGCCTCCATGAATTTCTCCAGCTCCCGGAGTCTCTTGACAAACTCCTGTGCCTCCCGGTTGGTGCGGCCCTCCAGCATCCTCAGTGCAGACCTCACTGCAGGCAGGAGGGCCGGGGCAGCATCAGGCCCTGCCAGCCCTTAGACCCTCTGCCCGCTGGTTCCCCACTTACCCTGGGCTCTGGGCCGGCGCAGGTGCAGGGTGATGGGCTGCCCAGTCCTCGTGCTTCCCCCCACCTGGGGCCGCACGATGCCGCCAATGCTGCCCAAGCCGAGAGCTGCCTCCCCTGCAAAGTCGTTGGTGGACAGCCAGTCGTGATCCATGACCGTAAAGAGCACACAGGCACCACGGCGGCGGCACACCTCTGCTGGCACGGAGCTGCAGGCAGGCAGAGGGCAGTCACCTAGCGCCCTGCTGCCTGCTTGGCCGGGTGTTGGGCAGGTGGGGGCAACACTCACAAGTAGAAGAGTTCATCATACACCGGGTGCAGTGTCCGGCTCTTAACCTGGGTCCTCTGGCTGTGGACCAGCGGGAAAAAGTGCGGCGGGCCCAGCTCCACAATCACAAAGGGGTCACTCAGACCTGGGGGGCAGGGCTGTGAGCAGACTGCCACCATCCCACTGGCCTGTCCCCACCTAGCCGTGCCTCTGCCCCTTACCGTTAGCATCCAGGGGGAGCAGGTCAGCAGCGTGCAGTACTTCCACCACCAGCCGCTGCTCAGCTGCCTCGTAGTAGCAACGGACACTCAGGCGCCCACACCGGTTATGCTCGAGTGACCTCTGCAAGAAGGCCGGTGGGCCCGTGAGCTCAGCTTGGGCTCGGGTGAGGCCATGTGCCCACTCCTGGACCACGTACCTGCTTGAGTTTGTCCAGGTAATACTGCTCAATGCACTCGCGGGTGGAGCACTTGTGCAGGCGCAGCTCCTCCTCCAGCCTCTGCAGGGAGAGGAGGGAAGAAGGTGGATGCCAACTCCTCCCTGAAGGCACAGGGGCTAGTGCAGGGCAGTGGCCCAGGTGAGGCCTCACCTTGTAGCTTCCGTCCCTCAGGTTCTCCAGGGGCAGACCCTGTCCATCTGCGTGGAAGAAAGTGACCAGGGCCTAGGGCGGGGCAAGAAGGGAGAGATGTCAGACTGTGGCGTGTGCTGGGGGCAGTGGGCCAGAACAGGTGGAGCCTTGAGTTTGCATAGCACCAGGGTCCTGGGAGCCCGGGGCAGAGCCACCTGTCACACCAGGGGCATATCAAAAGCCCCCAGGAGCTTGGGGGAATGCTGGTGCCTGAGGCCAGACACGACCTTAACAGGTAGCACAGGTGCTACTGACCCAGGTGGGCTGGCAGGGAGCAATGCCCTGGTGGGTGCTTCGAGGAAGAGCTGTCCAGACTTGGCAAGCTAATGCATCTTGCCTGGGGCAGCGGGGCCAAGGGCGGGGCAGCAGCCTCCCCATCCCCCCTGCAGCCCAGCAGAGGATGGCACCTCCACAAGGTCCTACCTCTAAGGTGAAGTGGAAACGGCTGTAGAAGTCGGCAGAGACATCAAGGTTGGTGCCCAGCGCCTGCAGAATGGCCTGCAAAAGCAGCTCCCAGAGGGCCTCCAGCACCCTGCAGGGACACAGCATCTGTGACTGGACCCTGGCCCGCCCTGCTCCACCCGGCCCAGTCCATACCTGTTCAGGTTCTCCTTCTCCAGCAAGGCGTTCAGCAGGGCCAGCTTCTCATCTAGGTATTTCATGAGTGGGGCCACAGCCTGCGGGGAGGGTCCTCAGGGCGAGACTGCACCTGGGCCCCCCCACACACGCTCCCCACCAGGCTGAGCCCTCAGCCGGCCGAGCACTCACCTCATCGTTCTGGATGGAGTCAGGTGAGAGGCTGATGTGCTGCACGTACTTCCTGACGTCACCCACCATCTGAGGGAGAGCAGGGCTCAGCACTGAGGGGAGTGGGGGTAGAGGGGGAGCCAGGTCCCTACCCCGCCTTCCTTGCCCACCTTGGAGGTCAGGTGCGCCGTCACAGTGCAGGCCTCCCGCTGCAGGTCCTCGTCCAGGGCCTGTGTGCAGTTGAGCAGAGCGCGAGGGAGCCCTCCTGTGAGCCCCGCGGCCCCCTCTGGCCATGCCAGACCTCGGAGTGCCTGGCCAGCCGCCCGGCGCAGGAGCTCCACATTGTTGAGGACCACGCAGAGCTGGAGAGATGTGCCAGATTGTGTGTGTGTTGGGGGGGGGGGGTGTTCCTGTGGTCATATGGTGGCCCACCCACCTCCTACCCCCATCCACCTGCCTGCCAGCCCACTCACCGGCTCACTCACTGCCTCGCCTGAGGCCCTGGGCTGAGTGTCCACCTTCTTCCGCAGCAGCTCAGTGTAGAAGAGGGCAGCCTCACACAGGTCCTGGGAGGACACAGGGGCTCGAGAGCTGTGGGCCCTGCTGCCCCTGCGGACCCCGACCTATCCTTGGGCTGTAGTTCCCACCTGGCTAAGCTGGGTGCCCAGCCCCTGGGCCTGGACAGGGTCTGGGCATGCTAAGCAGGTCCACAGCTTCTGGATGTGGCTGAAGCAGAGACTTGCAGTGGCCACCGAGCTGCTGTGCTTGGAGTTCTCCATAGGCTCCAGCTGGAAGGGCAAAAGGCAGCCTGGGTTTGGGGGGGCCCTGGATGGGTCCCAGTACCCTTCGAGCCAGGGGCTCACTCACTGTGTCCAC